AGACAGCAATGCCTAAGCGTACGTAATAAGCCAAATAGATTACTGGGATTTATATCAAGAAGTGTAAGCAACAGAAGTCCAGAGGTCATACTGCAGCTTTATACATCATTAGTAAGGCCTCACCTAGATTATGCAGCTCAGTTCTGGTCTCCATATTACAGAATGGACATAAATTCGTTAGAAAACATTCAGCGTAGGATGACTAAATTAATACATAGCATCAGAAATCTTCCTTATGAAGAAAGATTGAAGACTCTTAAGTTACATTCACTTGTTAGACGAAGAATGAGGGGAGACCTGATCGAAGTGTATAAGTGGAAGATAGGTATTAATAAAGGGGATATTAATAAGGTCTTGAGGATATCTCTCCAAGAGAGAACCCGCAGTAATGGATTTAAATTAGATAAGTTTAGATTTAGAAAGGACATAGGAAAGTATTGGTTTGGAAATAGGGTAGTTGATGAGTGGAACGGTCTACCTAGTTGGGTTATTGAGGCTGGGACTTTGGGTAGTTTCAAATTTAGGTTGGATAAGTACATGAGTGGGAAGGGTTGGATTTGAGTGGGACTTTCACATCAGAGCCTATTTCTTGGGTGGCATTGAAAATTGGGTTGGGCAAATGTTTTGTTAGTGGGATGAATTGTAAAGGACCTGCCTAGTATGGGCCAACAGGCCTCCTGCAGTGTTCCTCCTTTCTTATGTTCTTATAATAATCCATTGTTTTTTTGTGCTTGCAACTGCTAAAGAAGTCACCATGGGCCCAAAGAAAGCTAATGCCAGCCCTTTGGTAAAGAAATTGAGGAACAATTGAATTAAAGAAAGAAAGAAATTGAAAAATATGAAAGTGGAGTGCATGTTTCAGAGCTTGTCTGGATGTATGGCAAACACCATTCAACCATCACTTCGATCATGGCGAAGGGAAAGGAAATCAAGGAAGCTGTTGTTGCAAAAGGGGTAGACATGCTGACAAAAAAGAGGTTTCAAATCCTCGAAGTGGAGAGGATATTGTTGGTGTGGATTACCCAAAAACAGTTAGCAGGAGATATTGTCATGCAGTCAATAATTTGTGAAAAGGTAAGGCAGTTGCATGATGATCTCATAAAAAGAATGCCTGCAACAAGTGCTGTTTGTGATTTTAAGGCCAGCAAAGGCTGGTTTGAGAGATTTAAGAAGCATAATGGCATACACGGTGTGGTAAGGCATGGCGAGGCCGCCAGTTCTGACAAAAAAGCGGCTGAAAAATATTTTCAGGAATTAAAGGGGTACAGAGACTGAAGAATTCAAACCCCAACAGGTATTCAATTGTGACGAAACTGGCCCGTTTTGGAAGAAAATGCCAAAGAGGACCTACATCACGAAGGAGGAAACAGCATTGCCAGGACACAAGCCTATGAAAGACAGGCTAGCTCTCATGTTTTCTAGTAGTGCAAGTGGGGATAGCAAAGTAAAGCCTTTACTGGTGCATCACTCTGAAAATCTCAGTGTTTTCAAGAAAAACAGTGTCACCAAGGCTAATTTGAGGGATGTGGAAGGCTAAAATTAAGGTATGGGTCACGAGGGACATTTTCCTCGATTGGTTCAATGAAGCGTTTGACCCCGGTGTGAAGAAATACCTCCTGGAAAACAAATTGGAACTCAAGTGCCTCCTGGTAATGGACAATGCTCCATTTCATCCTCCAGACTTTGAAGAGCAAATGGTGCAGGAGTTTCGTTTCATCACATTGAAGTTTTTGCTCCCTAATACCACCCTCCTCTCCTGTATGTAAATCTATTTAATTTGAAAAAAATTTATTTTTAATATTTTTTGGGAGTCTGGAACGGATTAATTGGATTTTCATTCTTTCTTATGGGGAAAATGGTTTCACCATTCATGAATTTCAACTTTTAGCAGACTCTCTGGAACGGATTAATCATGAAATTCGAGGGTCCACTGTACTAATTACAATAATACTAATTAGAAAAGTAATATTCTTACTATTACTATTACATATTATACCTATTATATAAAGAAGTGTCAAACCTAAGAAATATATATAAAAATTTTAAAGATTAGCAATGAGAATATTATTAATATTTCATATACAGTGGACCCTGGACTTACGATGTCCTCAATGTAATGCATGTTAAAACCGACTTATGATGCTTGTCATCATAAAAATTTGACCCCAACATGTGTTGAAAAACTTGCATCATTCATCCCGTAGCGTCCACGCGTGTCTGGCCTAAACGCCTCAGCTGAGCTTGTGTGACATTGTTTACAAGCCGGGGCAGACACGGTTGCACGGTTAGTGCTTGTAACTGCTAAAAAGGCCACCATGGGCCCAAAGAAAGCTTCTAGTGCCAACCCTGTGGTAAAAAGGGTGAGAAATACTATTGTACCATGGTCAGCTGTACTACTTGAAGATGTGGAGAGACTGTTATTGGTGTGGCTTATCGAGAATACCGAGAAACAATTAACCCCAGAGGGTTAGCCACCCAGGATAATGCAAGAAAGTCAGTGTGTCATCAAGGACTAACTTATTTCCATTGGGGTCCTTAATCTTGTCCCCCAGGATGTGACCCACATCAGTCGACTAACACCTAGGTGAACAGGAAAAAATGCCTGGAACTAGTGCTCATATTGGCGAATTTAAGGCCAACAAAGGTTGGTTTGAGAGATTTAAGAATCGTAGTGGCATACACAGTGATAAGGCCTGTTCTGGAAGAAAATGCCAAACAGGACCTACATTACTCAGGAGGAAAAGGCACTCCCAGGACAGTCATCACTACATCATCGATAAAGGTGTCATTTATTCTTCATTTAGTACACTAGTACAAGCACAATATATATTGTGCTTGTATCCTCCTTTTTGTGTTTAGGAAAATGTATATTTCATGTGGTAAATTTTTTTTTTTCATACTTTTGGGTGTCTTGAATGGATTAATTTGATTTCCTTTATTTCTTATGGGGAGAATTAATTCGACTTAAGATAATTTCATCTTACAATGTGCTCTCAGGAACTGATTAATATTGCAAGTCGGGGTCCACTGTATAACAATTTTATATTTTAATGGAATGTACTGCAAACACCATTGATGGATTAGGTTTAAAGCCTATCTACTACATGGTCATGATTTATTGGGTTTAAAGCCTATCTACTATACAAAGGTTATAATTTATTTATTGGGTTTAAAGCCTATCTACTACACAAAGGTCATGATTTATTGGGTTTAAAGCCTATCTACTACACAAAGGTCATGATTTATTTATTGGGTTTAAAGCCTATCTACTACACAAAGGTCATGATTTATTGGGTTTAAAGCCTATCTACTACACAAAGGTTATAATTTATTTATTGGGTTTAAAGCCTATCTACTACACAAAGGTCATGATTTATTTATTGGGTTTAAAGCCTATCTACTACACAAAGGTCATGATTTATTGTTTCAAGCCCATCTACTGCACAAAGGTCATGATTTATTTATTGGGTTTAAAGCCTACTACACAAAGGTCACTAATAATTTATTGGGTTTAAAGCCTATCTACTAATCATGATTTATTGGGTTTAAAGCCTACTACTACACAAAGGTCATTAGTGATTTACCGAGTTCAAAGCTTATTACACGAAGGTCATGATTGATTTATTGGGTTTAAAGCCTATTTACTACACAGGTCATGATTTATTGGGTTTAAAGCCTATCTACTACACGTCATAATTGCTTTATTGGGTTTAAAACCTATCTACTTCATGAAGGTCATGATTTACTGGGTTTAAAGCCTATCTACTACACAAAGGTCATAATTTACTGGGCTTAAAGCCTATCCACTTCACGAACGTCATGATTTGCTGGGTTTAATAATCAAAAAGCACTAAACCCACTAGGGTATTGGGTGTAAAGCCTTTTTACTACACGGTCATTAAAGCTGCATGTAACCTATGCACCACCTGTCAAGAATACTTTTAATACCTAAAATATTAAGCAAAGTCCAGTATTACTGAACAGGTGTTCAGCTTTAAATCATCTCAAAATTACTAAGAAGTTCCTAAATCAATTTTTAAAAATTATAATCATAACTAATAACTAAACCCAACGGGTCATACATAACCGGTGGCCTGGTGGCTAAAGCTCCCGCCTCACACACCGAGGACCTGGGTTCGATTCCCGGCGGGTGGAAACATTTCGACACGTTTCCTTACACCTGTTGTCCTGTTCACCTAACAGCAAATAGGTACCTGGGTGCTAGTCGACTGGTGTGGGTGGCATCCTGGGGGACAAGATTGAGGACCCCAATGGAAATAAGTTAGTCCTAGATGACGCACTGACTTTTTTGGGTTATCCTGGGTGGCTAACCCTCCGGGAATTAAAAATCCGAACGAAATCTTATCTTACCATAAAGCGCTAAACCTACAAGGGTCATACATTATAACCATAAAGCGCTAAACCTACAAGGGTAATATAATAAAGCGCTAAACCTACAAGGGTAATATAATAAAGCGCTAAACCTACAAGGGTAATATAACCATAAAGCGCTAAACCTACAAGGGTCATACACCGTTAGTATCTCAAAGGGTCAATACCCCCCCCCCCAAAAAAAAAAAAAAAAAAAAAAAAGGAAAATATGAATAAATTTAACTTGCATCAACTTAAAACATGGCAACTGCAAAAAATTATAATATCAACTTTAAATCAGTTTAAAATAATAAACATTAAAATCAGTAATTACAAAAAAACCTACATATACTATGACATTTAAATCTTAGTTTACTGGAATAATTCAACAAGGCATCCACCATATTCACGTATCCATGGCAACAAAGTCCATATATAAAAAGCTGGATAATAAATTAATGTTTCAGCGAATAATAATTTTCAATTATAATTTATAGTAGTGATATAAGTGGTAGTGACAAATGGTAAGGTCGTAAAAGTGGTAAAATAACATAAGTGGTAGACAAATGGTAAAGGGATAAGTAATAACTGATCACTTATAAGTGAAAGTGACAAACGTTACCACTTACCATAAAGGCTAAAACTGTACTGCTGAACTCGTCTGTTTCAACTGGAATAAAAATAATTTCACAGAATTACTACTACAGATTATATATACATACTGTTTATATTACCATGTAAATCCACTAATTATAAATAACCAGTAATTTAGGAGAAATAAAGGAAAATATGTCTTACCAGAGGAGCGCGCGCCCTCACTCCTCCCACGCATGGCGCCAGTTTACGCGGGCTACCGCACCAGACACCAGACTGACGTAGTAATCTGAGCGCTCATTGGCTGATCAACAGTGACGTCACGACTGCTGGGTCTTGGCGCTCAACCCGTGACGTCAGGATAAATCTAGGCTGTAATTGGCTGTTGCTTCCCGCCAACTTAGCAATTTGCTTTTTGAGTGCTGGTGATGGACTCTTGATCCAAGGATTTGGAGCATCCTTACCCTAATAAAAACCAAATAAAACATTTATAATGTAGAAATATCCCAGAATAAGTGAGAAAATATTTTGTATACTGAATATCAATGCACACACAAATATAAAATATATATATATATATATATATATATATATATATTATATATATATATATATATATATATATATATATATTATATATATAAAATATATATATTATATATATATTATATATATATATTATATATATATATATATATATATTATATATATATATATATATACACACACACATTGATATGCTATATACACATTTCAAGTTTACATCAACCCCTGGGGAATGGAATATATCCCCAGCAGAGCCCGAGGAATGGAATATATCCCCCGTAGAGCCTGGGAAATGGAATATATCCCGAGGAATGGAATATTCCCCATAGCCTGGGGAATGGAATATATTCATTACTGGGAATGATGGCTCAGATTCATTGGATCAAGATCCTCCCACCGTGGCATGGTCCAGAAAATTTAAAATAACGATCACTTAAGTGGTAGTGAATGGTAAAGTGACAAGTTACAACCGATCATAAACGATCGATCACTTGTAAGGGGTAAATTGACAAATTACAACTTAACACTAACCAATTAGTGGTAATGACAAAGTTACAGCCAATTACTTATAACTGGTAGTGACATACCAGTTATTAGAGGTAAAGTGGCAACCACTTATGTAAGTGGTACGTGACAACTGACAACCACTTACGTAGACATAAGTTACCATATTTTACAAAATTATTACTTCAGATATATTTACTTTATATAACCATGTAAAAGCATTATTTAATGTAAACGACCAGTAATTTTGAAGAAATTTAGGATAAAATCATTACCAGAGTGCGCACCCCCCCCCCCCTTTCTCCCGTGCATGACTGAGGCGCCAGTTTTCGCGGGCTCGCACCACCACCAGTCACGTAGGAACCGCTGAAGTGATTGGCTGATCGACAGTGACGTATGTTTGGCCAAGTGACGTCACGATTACTGACTGGTTGCTGGGTCTTGGCGCTCGAACCCGTGACGTCATAGGTTAACTCGAGACTAATTGGCTGCTGGTTCCCGCCAACTTTGTATTTGGTTGTGGCCAGGACATTTTGATAAGCTCTTGATCCAAGGATTTGGAGCATCCCCCAATAAAAACAATTATATGTAGAAATAGTCCAGAAATGAGAAAATATTTTATATATATTCTGAATCTCAATGTATATAGAGTATATATACATGTATATACATAAACATTTCAAGTGTATATATATATATACACTTGACCCACGCGTGGTTAAGTTTTGAGTGACCGGGTTTTGCGCTTCCTAGAGCGGATTTCACGCATTGGCGCCAAGAACGCGAGTTAATGGCGCCAACTGAGCGCACATGCTGTGCCGTGGAGTTTACGGTAAAGCGCTAAGCCCGTAAGGGGGTCATACAGTGCCTGGGGAATGGAAGTCACTACTGGAAAGTAGTTCAGATTCCTTGGATCAAGATCCTGCCCATCAGGATAAAGTGTAAAAGATACAATTATAATTGACCACATACAAGTGGTATTGTGATGCCATACTAAATTACCACTTAATTGGTGGTGACAAATTACAAGACCATAAACGACCACTTATAAGTGACATTAGTGAAGTGGCAAGTTACAACCATAAACGACAAGGTGGTAAAACGACATACGTTACTACCCACCACTTACAATTTGTAGACAATTTACAATTTAGTGCTAGTGACAACTTATATAAGTGGTACATGACGATTTACAACCACTTAAGTGGTGACATTAAGTTACTTACCATATTTTGCAGTATTACTATTTCAAATATACACACACTATATTACCATGTAAAAACAAGGTAAATGACAAGTAATTTAGGAGAAATATGGGAAAAATTCTTACCAGAGGAGCGCGCGCCGTCACGTCATCTCCCGCACCACCACCACTGTGACGCTTGTGATTGTGCGCTTTGATTGGCTCGTCAAGTGACGTCACGACTGCTGATTGGCTGCTGGGTTTTGGCGCTCGAACCCGTGACATCATAGGTTAAATCTAGGCTGTAATTGGCTTCTGCTTTCCGCCAACTTAGTAACTCTCGTTTTCATTGGCTGTGGCTAGAGCGGTGACACGCATACACCTGGCAGGTGATGGGCTCTTGATCCAAGAATTTGGAGCAATCTCCCCCTAATAAAAATAAACATTAATGTAGAAATAGCCTAGAATAAGGAAATATTTTACATATGATTAATATCTTAATGTTCCTAACATGTATCATAGACATTGGCGCCAATTTATCGGCGCACATTACTGCGCCAATATGTTACAGTGGCGTTACTCTAAACCACATAAGTGATAGTGACAACTTACAACTTACTAGTGACATAAGTTAAACTTTCCTCCTGTATGTGGTAAAGTGACAATTTACACTAAACGACCTCTTGTTAATGTTTCAACCCATCATAAACCAGCACTTATAAGTAGTAAAGTGACGTAATACATGGTGACAAGTGCAAGTTACATAAGTGACCATATAATATACTTAGCACTTACCATTGGAACAAAAATCAATAATTCCACAATTACTTTATAAGATATATATACTGTTTATATGATCATGTAAAAGCATTAGTTAATGAAAACAACCAGTAATTTAGGCGATATAAAGGAAAAATGCTTACCAGAGGAGCGAGCACCCTCACGTCATCTTCTCCCGCGCATGACTGAGGCGCAGTTTTCGCGGACTTATGAACCGCCACCAGACTGTGACGTAGGAGCCTCTGAGCACTTTCATTGGCTGATCAACCATGATGTATACATCCTCAACAGTGACGTCACAACTCTTGATTGGCTACTGGGTCTTGGCGGTCGAATCTGTGACGTCATAGGTTAAATCGTGGCTTTAATTGGCTGCTGCTTCCCGCCAATTAGCAATTTTCGTTTTGTTCAGCAGTGGCTCTTGATCCAAGGATTCAGAGCAACATTTACCTAATAAAAAATGAATGTATACATTCGTAGTGCACTTTAATCCATTATTTGAGTTATAAGGAATTCTCCCCCTTAGTTTAGAGGCGACTTCCACCCTTAATGACTGCCAGGATTCAAGCCTAACCGAATTTGAATTATCCAACGATTTATTGACAAACTTCATGTTTTTGTTGTTGTTGCTATTGTTGCTGTGGTTGTTGATGTTGTTGTTGCAATTGTTGCTGTGGCTGCTGTTGCTATTGCTATTGTTGCTGTGGTTGCTGCTGTTGTTGTTGCTATTGTTGCTGTTGCTGTTGCTATTGTTGCTGTGGTTGCTGCTGTTGTTGTTGCTATTGTTGCTGTTGCTGTTGCTATTGTTGCTGTGGTTGCTGCTGTTGCTATTGCTGCTGTTGCTGTTGCTATTGTTGCTGTGGTTGCTGCTGTTGTTGTTGCTATTGTTGCTGTGGTTGCTGCTGTTGTTGTTGCATTGTTGTGTTGCTGCTGTTGCTGTTGCTATTGTTGCTGTGGTTGCTGCTGTTGTTGTTGCTATTGTTGCTGTGGTTGCTGCTGTTGTTGTTGCTATTGTTGCTGTTGCTGTTGCTATTGCTATTGTGCTGTGGTTGCTGCTGGTTGTTGTTGCTATTGTTGCTGTGGTTGCTGCTGTTGTTGTTGCTATTGTTGCTGTGGTTGCTGCTGTTGTTGTTGCTATTGTTGCTGTGGTTGCTGCTGTTGTTGTTGCTTGGTTGTGCTGTTGCATTGCTGCTGTTGTTGTGTTGCTATTGTTGCTGTTGCTGTTGCTATTGCTATTGTTGCTGTGGTTGCTGCTGTTGCTATTGCTGCTGTTGTTGTTGCTATTGTTGCTGTGGTTGCTGCTGTTGTTGTTGCTATTGTTGCTGTGGTTGCGTTGCTGTTGCATTGTTGCTATTGTTGCTGCGTTGCTGTTTGCTATTGTTGGCTGTGGTTGCTGACTGTTGCTATTGCTGCTGTTGCTGTTGCTATTGTTGCTGTGGTTGCTGCTGTTGCTGTTGCTATTGTTGATGTGGTTGCTGCTGTTGCTGTTGCTATTGTTGCTGTGGTTGCTGCTGTTGCTGTTGCTATTGTTGCATGTGGTTGCTGCTGTTGCTGTTGCTATTGTTGCTGTGGTTGCTGCTGTTGCTGGTTTGCTATTGTTGTGTGGTTGCTGCTGTTGCTGTTGCTATTGTTGCTGTGGTTGCTGCGTTCGTTGCTGTTGCTTTGTTGCTGTGGTTGCTGCTGCTTTGCTGCTGTGTTGCTATTGTTTCTGTGTTGCTGTTGCTGCTGTGTGTTGTTGCTATTGTTGCTGTGGTTGCTGCTGGTTGCTTTATGCTGCTGTGTTGCTATGTTGCTGTGGTTGCTGCGGTTGTGTTTGGTATTGTTGCTGTTGTTGCTATTGTTGCTGTGGTGCTGCTGTTGCTGTTGCTATTTGCTGGGTTGCTGCTGTTGTTGCTATTGTTGCTGTGGTTGCTTCTGTTGCTATTGTTGCTGTGTTGCGCTTGCTATTGTTGCTGTGGTTGCTTGCTGTTTGCTATTGTTGCTGTTGTTGCTATTGTTTGCATGTGGTTGCTTGCTGCTGTTGTTGTTGCTATTTGTTGCTGTGGTGCTGTTGCTTGTGCTGTTGCTGTGGTTGCTGCTGTTGCTGTTGCTATTGTTGCTGTGGTTGCTGCTGTTGCTGTTGCTATTGTTGCTGTGGTTGCTGCTGTTGTTGTTGCTATTGTTGCTGTGGTTGCTGCTGTTGCTATTGTTGCTGTGGTTGCTGCTGTTGCTGTTGCTATTGTTGCTGTGGTTGCTGCTGTTGTTGTTGCTTTGTTGCTGTGTTGCTGCGTTGTTGCTATTGTTGCTGTGGTTGCTGCTGTTGTTTGTTGCTATTTGTTGCTGTGGTTGTGCTGTTGCTGTTGCTAGGCTTGTTGCTGTGGTTTGCTGCTGTTGCTGTTGTATTGTTGCTGTGGTTGCTTGCTGTTGGTTGCTGTTGGCTTCATTGTTGCTGTGGTTGCTGCTGTTGCTGTGTTGCTATTGTTGCTGTGGTTGCTGCTGTTGCTGTTGTTTGTTGCTTGTGGTTGCTGCTGTTTGTGGTATTGCTGCTGTGGTTGCTGCTGTTGCTATTGTTGCTGTGGTTGGCTATTGTGTTGCTTTGTTGCTGTGGTTGCTGTTGCTATTGTTGCTGTGGTTGCTGCTGTTGTTGTTGCGTTGTTTGCTTTGGATTGCTGTGGTTTGCTTTGCTGGTGGTGCTGTTTGCTGTTGCTATTGTTGCTGTGGTTGCTTTGCTGCTTGTTGTGTTGCTGTTGCTGTTGCTATTGTTGCTGTGGTTTCTATTGTTTCTGTGGTTGCTGTTGCTTGTTGCTATTGTTGCTGTGGTTGCTGTTGCTATTGTTGCTGTGGTTGCTGCTGTTGCTATCGTTGCTGTGGTTGCTGCTGTTGCTGTTGCTATTGTTGCTGTGGTTGCTGCTGTTGCTGTGGTTGCTGTTGCTGTTGCTATTGTTGCTGTGGTTGCTATTGCTGCTGTGGTTGCTGTTGCTGTTGCTATTGTTGCTGTGGTTGGGGTGCTGGTTGCTGTTGCTGTTGCTATTGTTGCTGTGTTGCTATTGCTGCTGTGTTGCTAGTCTGTTGCTTGGGTTTCTGTGGTTGCTATTGCTCTGTGGTTGCTGTTGTGTTGCTTGCTATTGTTGCTTGGTTGCTATTGCTGCTGTGGGTTGCTGTGTGTTGCTGTTGCTATTGTTGCTGTGGTTGCTATTGCTGCTGTGTTTGGTTGCTGTTGCATTGTTGCGTGGTTGCTATGCTGCGTGGTTGCGTAGTTTGTTGCTTGGTTGCTGTGGTGTGGGTGTATGCTATTGTTGCTGTGGTTGCTATTGCTGCTTGGGGTTGTCATGTTGCTGTTGCTATTGTTGCTGTGGTTGCTATTGCTGCTGTGGTTGCTGTTGCTGCTGTGCGTTATGCTGTGTGCTATTGCTGCTGTGGTGCTGTTGCTATTGTTGCTGTGGTATTGCTGTTGCTGCTGCTGGTTGCTATTGTTGCTGTGGTTGCTCTGCTTGTTGTGCTGTGGTTGCTGTTGCTGTTGCATTGGTGCTGTGGTTGCTATTGCTGCAGTATGGTTGTTGTGTTGCTATGTTGCTGGGTGTGCTGCTTGCTGATTGTTGCTGTGGTTGCTATTGCTGCTGTGGTTCTGCTGTTAGGTTGCTATGAGCTCGTGGTGGCTACTTGCTGCAGTGGTTTGCTTGTCACTCTGTGGCAATTCAACTGCTTGGCCTGCTGTGTGCTTAGGTATGCTGCTGGCGTTGCTATTGCTGTGGTTAGTGTATCTGCTGCATTGTGGCTGTTGCTGCACTGCTGGCTGTAAGGTCACTACTGCTGGCACTCTGCTGCGTAAGGTTCTACTGCTGGCACTGCTGGCAGTAAGGTATGCTGCTGTCACTTGCTTGCAGTAAGGTTTCGCATGCTGTGCAGTGGTCATCTGCTTGGGCCCTGGGGTGCATTGCTGCTGGGTTGCTGTTCTGTTGCTGGTTGCTATTGTCTGCTGTGGTTGCATTCTAGCTTGTTGCTTGTTGCCTATGTGCAGTAAGGTCTACTGTTGCACTCTGCTGGCGTAGGTACTATGCTGCATGTGCAGTAAGGTCTATGCTGGTGATCTGCTGGCAGTATGTATCTGCTGCAGTAGGTTCACACTGCTGGCATAAGGCACAATGCTGGCACTATCTGGCAGTGGTCACTACTGCTGCTAAGGCCTACTCTGGCACTTGCTGCAGTAAGGTCATACTGCTGGACTCTGCTGGCAGTAAGGTTTACTACTGCTGGCACTTGCTGGGTTGTAAGCTGCTGTGCATTGCTGGCAGATAAGGTCACTACTGCTGGCATTTTTGCGTGGTCTATGTGGACTTGCTGGGTTGGTCATATGCTGCATCTTTCTGGCAGTAAGTCACTACTGCTGGCACTCTGCTGGCAGTAAGGTCACTACTGCTGGCACTCTATGGCAGTAGGTCACTATGCTGGCACTCTGCTGGCAGTAAGGTCTAATGCTGCTAATCATCTGCTGGCATAAGGTCACTCTGCTGGGACTTGTTCTGGCAGTAAGGTCACTATGCTGCACTTGCTGCAGTAAGGTCACTACTGCTGGCACCTGTGGCAGAAGGTCACTACTGCTTGGCACTCTGCTGCAGTAAGGTCAACACTGCTGGCAGTAAAAGAGTCATCTGCTGCATAAGTCACTACTCTGCACTCTACTGGCAGTAAGGTCACTACTGCTGGCACTCTGCTGGCAGTAAGGTCACTACTGCTGGCACTCTGCTGGCAGTAAGGTCACTACTGCTGGCACTCTGCTGGCAGTAAGGTCACTACTGCTGGCAGTAAGGTCACTACTGCTGGCAGTAAGGTCACTACTGCTGGCACTCTGCTGGCAGTAAGGTCACTACTGCTGGCACTGGGCGTGCATCATGTGCTGATGCCGGTCTGGCACCAGCATTCAGTCAGGCAGTCAAGAGTAATAGTGGCACTTAAGTGCCTAGAAGTGAACCAGGAAAGGCTTGTTCAGCACTGTGAGTGAACAATTCTTGACCAATGTTCAATCATATATATATTTGATTGAATTTATATACAGATATTATCTCTATTGCAATTCAACAACCACAATTACGTAATAACCACAATTCAACAACAATCACAATTCAACAACAATCACAATTCT